CGTTGTAAAACAAGCCAATTCACTTCGTGAACTCGGGCAACCAGGTTACCGTTTCTTTCTTTTAACCTCCGTTTTTTTTTTTTGCGGTAACCATAGTGGTGGTCGAGTAGATCATGTTGTGCGGGGTGGAGAACCCTCACTCCGCGCAAGGGGGATGATCGCACCACGTTGTGTTAAAATGGTCAAGCACCCTCGAGGCAGTTACACAGTGCTTACAACTGTCTCTGGAAGTGAAAGCACCAGAAAATAAATTAAGTCATACACAGCTGTCATCCGTGCACAAGGAAGTAAGCATAAGATGCCGAACACCCTTAGCAGGATGCAACGCACCCTTCATGCGACTCGCCGAATACCTCACGGCGCTTCGCGCTTGGTGATGTGAGAGCCTGGTCCGGTGAGAACCCGGCGTGCTCCGTCCCGGCTTTGTAGGGATGCGAGGTCAATGGTCTAACGACTACGGCATGCACGACTATGAGTACCCCCCCCCCCCCCAAACGCTGCACCATTGCACCAACCCCCCACTAGTGATGACGTACCATTACAATGTATCGCTGGTTAGTGGCCATGTTTGTTTGCGTGTTCGCTTGTTCGTTCGTGGTCTCTCCACCGTGTGCCTTTTTCTGTCTCTTGTTTCTTGTCATTTTCGGCCTGGTCCCTTTTTTTCCTCGCTCTCTTCCATTCTGTTTCTCTTTCCTTACTGTTTCCTTTCATTTCATTCTTTGTATTGTCTGTTTTCTCCTTTTCTCCCTCTTTTTCTCCCTTTTTCTGTGCCAGATGGCCTTGTCTTTGCTTGCGTTGTGACGTACCATGATTGAACCAAGGAGGTGTACCTCTTTCTCTCCGGTCCGTGATGGTGACCCCTAGTCTCAGCTGTTACCTCGCATAGCGCGCAGAGGGAGTGGAGGACTCCAGAATATCTGCCATTGATTCTATTGACTTGCGGACCCCTCGGGGCCAGTTTATTTGAGTGTACCTGGGAAGCTAACCTGTGACCACCGGAATCGACCGCGTCGAGTGCTGGATCAGTGCGGACATACGAAGGTACTGGGTAGAGAGAGATCGGAACGGTTTTATGTGAAAACAGTAACAACGACAACAGCAACAACAACAACAATGAAGAAGAACAACCAACCAAAGCCATCATTGCAATTGACAATCACCCGAACCTATCCAGATCATCTGCGTTAGACACAGCAGTGTAATCATCGACACTGACTAGGGATCGTTCCACATTGAAGGGGTCTTCCACGACGCAGGTACACAATTAAGGAACCCGGGATATCCGCGCCATCTCAGCCGCGTCTCTCTACCTAACCAGTGACGTCATCACACACACTCAACACCTGTATTCAGGAAAAAAAAAAACGGAAAAAATTGACAACACAAGAGATGTTTGTCCGTGCGCCGCGGTTCGATGCCGTCCGCATGCTCCGGTTCCGCTGCTCCGGTGCGGCTGCTCCGGTGCCGCTTCTCCGGTGCCGCTGCGGCCAGTCCTAGCACGACCAAACTCGATCCGCTCCGCTTCGTACACGCNGCGCCGAAGGGTCAACCAGCCCAATCAGCTCGTCACCACCTGTCCCCTCCTCGTTTGATGGCAAAACCAGGTTTCTGAGACAGTACAGCTCCCTCTAGCAAACCTAGGGCCGTGTATATAGTGTCCGTCCACCTCACTCTCCCTTCTTCCCCTCGCTCCTCGACAAGCTTTTGCTTAGACATGGGTTTGAAGTGAAGGGGGGGGTCTTTCTGGCGAGCAGGGCTAGAC